AGGACAGCCTGGATGGTGACATACATGGCTGGTGTGTTGAACGTTTCGAACATGATCTGAAAATCTTCTTTTAACGAAATTGATTGGAGTGGAGTTGGCAACATATTTTCTTTTGCTTCGAAGTATTTTCCTTGATGTTTTTAGCCATATAATTCACACCGTGTCACTACTTCAGTTCGCGTGGTAGCGAACTTCGGATGTGGCATTTTCATTACTTTGACTGGAATAACTTCATAAACAATGCTTTCAATGTATCCAAATGAAAAGCAGTTTTCGAGTCATCATCTTACTTGAGTCATCTTCTCACGGTTGCTTTTCGGGTTGCGTGGTGCTTCAGTCAACAAAACTGGATATTCCTCAGGTCCCACTCTAAGCTCATTGTAGAAGGTGTGATGCCAGATCTTCTCCATGTCGTCCCAGTCTTGCACGATACCGTGTTCGATCGGATATTTCAACGTGAGGATACCTCTCTTCGATTGTGCTTCATCACCAATGTATATATCCTGCAATTTCAATTTTTGTTTACTTCAAGTGAACCGCAAAAATTAATTCGATCAAAATTCAGTCACAGCTGTCAAATGGAAACAATACAATATAATTTATTCACTGCTGTTTACTATGCAGTTCATTTGCACCAAAATTATCGCATCAATTGTTCCACTTTTCAGTCACCTATAAGATTTCGTTGTTGTTTGCACAAATATATCACTTTGCATGTATCACTGTCAAGCATTTTGCAACTTATAGTCATCGCGACGTGATCTTGTTTAAACGAGTGCCGTTTGGTACTTCGTGACCGGTTGCATGAATCTCATTGGAAATAATTGTATTGTACTGAAGTTGATAAATACATCGATGACAGTTACGTTTTGTTTGATGCCAATCATAGCTGGACGACCTCTATGTCGAGGTCGTCCAACGATTGATGGGAATACAGCGCGGGGAGCATCTTCGCCAGCAAAACCCGCCTTGCACACACCGGATCCATTGTCAATCACCACTGCTCTAATATTTTCTTCACACATTGTCGACACCGCAGTAGTTTATGTAGAGAGCAGAGAAAAGCAGATGGAGATGGAGTCACTATACCTTACGAGACGCATCAGATGCTTTCGAATGGTTTGAATAACGTTCACGCAACGGTTCCTGGAATTGGCGCATGCTATCTGCAATTTCATTGGCTAT